AATATTGTAAAGGTCATGTTATTTGTAATACCTCAAGAGGTATAAATAGGCTTGGTTTTAGACCAAGTAAGAATCATGATGTTCATGATACAATAATAATAATAATATAATAACCTTGTAACAAAGATATTATCACTAATAAAGACACATAACATTTTTACAATAAATAATTGAACTTCTAATAAAATCCTTAATAAACCTTTGCTGAAAAGCATACACCACCTTAATTTAAGACCATACTAACTAAGGGACGCCTTAGTCAGACAGTGGAACATTTATTGATTATATTTAGGCTTTGCCAGCAGTACTTCTATTAGTACTGTAAAGAGAGAGATTGCGCAACAGAGAGGCTCTGAGCTGTGTGCCGTAATCAGAGGCCGGAATTGGAGAACCCTGAGCTGTGTGCCGTAACAGGGAGATTAATATTTTGGACTTTTTATTTATCTTATCTTATATTTATTGGACACCTCACGAGCTGTGTTTGAATTTACACGCTCGCAGCGCCATTACTTTCGCCAGGGACTGTAATAGATAATATGAGAGGATACAATTAATTCATTGAAATATTATCATTAGTGATTACTTGCAGCTAATGATGTATGATGAAACTTTTGACTTTAGTCATTGACGTGATGAAAGTACTGACTAAAGGTAGTTTCTCACCAAGGACCATTTTGACGATTTGACGAAAGTAAAAAGTGTTGACAAAAGTAAAAATTGTTGACAAAAGTAAAAATTGTTGATGAAAATAAAAATTGAAATTGAAATTTATATATATAAGGTTACCCTAATTATAAAATAATAAACAAAAAAGTTTAGTCATGGACAACCACAAAAATTTTTATCACATTTAGCAAATCATTGTCCAGGCTGTACTTGTGAAATTAGAAAAGAATGTCTAAAACAAATAAACAATGATAATAATAATCAAATTTTAGAATCATCATCAACTCAACAGCCAATTTCAAATTTTTATGAAAGCACATTGTTGACAAAAGAGCACAACAATTCTATTAACCAGGCATTAATCAAAACATTCATTTTCTGTAGAATTTCTTTTTCAGTTGTAAGTAATCCATACTTTATAGATCTTCTTCACAACTTCATCCTGCATATCAACCACCATCTAGGAGTGTTTTATCTGGAAAATTTCTTGATACTGAAATATCTAATGTCAATAATAAATTGAATTCAATATTAGAAAATAACAAAAACCTGACATTAGGTGACTATCATCACCATCATCGTCATCATCATTATTATTATTATTATTTTATTTTATTTTATTTTACTTACCTTAAATTTGATAATTAAAACAACAATTGATGGTTGGTCTAGTCCTCAGTATTTGTCAATATGGAGTTTTGTGATATATGCACCTGATTATAAGCAATATTTGTATGAATTACATGACCTATCATCTGAAAGTCATACTGCACAATATATTGCAACCCAAATTGAAGAAATTATGAATAAAGTTGGCTCATTTAGGTTTTCTGCAGTGGTGCTTCCAATGTGAGTGGTGCCAGGAAAATTATTACTGATAAATTTAAACACATCACCAACTTGCATTGTATAGCCCATTATATCAACTTGGTGACCAAAGATATTATCCAACATAATTTTGCAAAAAATCTGATTTCTAAATGCAAAATTGTTGCCAGATTTTTTAAAAGGCCCCATAGAGCAACCAATATATTGCATGACCTATCATCTGAAAGTCATACTGCACAATATATTGCAACCCAAATTGAAGAAATTATGAATAAAGTTGGCTCATTTAGGTTTTCTGCAGTGGTGCTTCCAATGTGAGTGGTGCCAGGAAAATTATTACTGATAAATTTAAACACATCACCAACTTGCATTGTATAGCCCATTATATCAACTTGGTGACCAAAGATATTATCCAACATAATTTTGCAAAAAATCTGATTTCTAAATGCAAAATTGTTGCCAGATTTTTTAAAAGGCCCCATAGAGCAACCAATATATTGCAAGAAAACATCAATAAAAATAACATTGTTGGTAGTGGTTTGAAGAAATATTGTGAGACATGTTGGACATCAGTATATGATACAGTGGCATCTATTATAAGGCTCAAACCTTGATTTGATTTAGTAAGTTGTTTTTATTTTTTATTTATTTTATTTTATTTTAATTTTAATATTTATTTAAATTATAAATAGATTTTGAGAGAAAATGATGATTTGGTTACAAGTGAAGTGAAGAATATCCTTAGACGAGGAACTTTTTTTGACAATTTAGAAGATTTATCTCATCTATTAAAACAAATAAAAATTTCAATTGTAGAATTAGAATCAGATAGTTGCAATTTAGCTGATTGTTATCTCAACTTGGTTAAGTTGGCAGTAGCTATAAATTTAATTCTAAAAGAGTATAACAAATCATTTTTTAACTATTGTATTTACATAGTAAGTCTCGGTATAGTGGACCTCGGTATAGCGGATGTCTAATAAAACTCTCAGTTTAACGGATCAAAGCTCAGAACCATCTATAAGTAAATTCTCTCGGTTTGACAGATTTACTAATTAAATCTTGAATTAATCTTGGTATAATGGATTTTTGAAATTTTTGTTCTAATTACCCAAATTATCCGCTATACCGAGACTCACTGTGTACAAGTATAATAAAAGTTGGCAAGATTTTGAATATGATGAATTTTTGTTGTGTTTTTTCCTACATCCAGCATATAAAGGTAATTAATCAATTGAAAATTAATATGATCTATAAAAATATATTATTATTAATGATTGATTTAATATTTGAATAGGTAAAGGTATAAGAAATGGTAATTTCAGAAGAATTGCAGAAACTGCTGTATGACTATATCAAATATGGGAAAATCCAAAAAATCTTGTAATGAATTGATATCTCAACTCAGACACTATGAAATTGGGAATTATCCATTTGATGCATCATATGACAAGAAAAATGATTCACCACTAACTTGGTGGATGACACGTGAAGATGTTCACAGTCACCTTCAAGATTTGGCAATTAAACTTTTTTCAGTGACCCCTCACAGTGTAGGGTGTGAAAGAATTTTTTCTAAATTGGATATATGGCAATAAATGACAAAATTTGAACTTAGAAAAACTTGAAGATATATCCAAAATTCTCAGTTATTATCTTTCAAATACAAAAAAAGAAGTTCAAAATTTTGATCATTCACTTTCAGATAATGATCTTAAACAATTGGTTATTAATTCAAGTGACAATGATTCAGATGTGGAAGATCTAGAAGATCTAGAAGAAAATGAAGATGAGTTGGAATATAATTATGAAGAAGACTTACTAGTGGTTAATGATATTATGATATTAGATGATACAGTATTTACTGATGAAAATGATAATATTAGTAATGAAACTGATGAAGTTTTGGATATTGAAAGTCAAAATAATGATTTAAATTATAACACAAATAATTTAGTTTCAATAATTTTGGATTATGACTTGGAAAATGAAAATAATAATGTATTAGATAATGAGAATAATAGTATTGAATTTGGAAGTGACAATGTTTGTTTGAAAACCCACATCAGGAAGATATGTTTCTAAATGGAAGTGGAAGTTTAGAGATTGAAAGCAGTGACAATTTTGAAAACAGAGTCACTCATTACTTAGAAAGTGAAGATTGTAATTTAGAAGATGGGAATAATGATGTGGAGATTGAAGATATCTTAACACAAACAATGATAATTGCAATATATCAAAAAAAAAAAGAAAAGTCAAAACTTATATCAACATAATTTACATAGAAGAAATGCTGATAATGGAGTCACAAAAAATAAAAAACAAAAATCTAAATAATTGTTAATTGACAACATAATAAAAATTTATTTTAATAAAATTAAATCTGATTTTTACTTTTAATTTTTTGTTTTGCCAATGACTTCAATGATTTGACTTTCATCAATGATTTGACTTTCATCAATGGTTTTGACTTTCATCAAGGGTTTAGTCTTTCGTCATTTTTTTAACAATCAAAATTTGTCAACAACTAATAATTTATAAATCTTAATATTAACAGCATACCAGCATCAAGATATCAATTTCCATAGCATAACGTGTTTGATTTCATGGTGCACAAGTCTCAGGCCTAACATTTCCACATGCAACCTTTAGCTATAGATCATAATATGTTTGCTTGGTGACAAATATATGTGGCAATGAGTTCAGTTTCTTCCTGTAAGTCATTAGACATTTTATCTTTTGAGTTTGATTGCTTGAAAATAGATGTGAATGTCATAAAGATTGAATTACTTAAACAAAAAAAAGTTAAAGAAATGCAAAGCCGATATTATGTGTATTAACCAATAAATTCTTTAACAAATAGATTTTTGACAGTGAAGAATCTAAACGTTATGTCAATTGTTTCTGTTGTGAATTTTTTGGATGTTCCTATTAAATTTAATTGATTTGATTATCAGGGTCTGAAATATTATTATCATTGTAGTTGGATTGTTTAAATGTTTGTTTAAAAAAAGTCTTTCAATTTAAGAATAAAACTAGATGAATGCTTTATGACAGTGATAAAGTCACTGATGTTACTTGTTATTTATTATTTTAAAACCTCTATTCAAATAAAGGCTATTATTTTAATTATTTGTAATTGATTTGAATATTGTAAAATAGTAAATTATAAATCACGGGAACGAACATATAAATCGGAAATGATTTACATGTATCACGAAGTGAAATTTGGAAACGATTATCACGGAATAACTCAACAAGAAATAAACCAGTACAATTTAATAAATTTTACACTAATTAATGAGGCGCACCAATCAAATAAATAGCTCTCGGAAAATAACCCAAATATTGGAGATATAAATATTCCAACATTCTAAAGT